CATGTTTGAATGGAGCAGGAAGAAGTCAGACTTATCTAGTCCTACCCCATGACATCATCTTACTATCACAGTTTTGCTAGCAGTACATGATTCGCTTCTACACACACATATTATACTAAAAAAAGAATATAACAGTGTTAACATTCTTACATCACACAAGTGATATACTAAAGAATGGTTACAAAATATACAACCAATGTTTACCATCCAACCTGACAGAACTGGAGAGGATCTGCAAGGAGGAATGGCAGAGTATCCCCAAATGCAGGTGTGAAAAACTTGTTGCATCATTCCTAAAAAGACTCATGGCTGTATTAGCTCAAAGGGGTGCTTCTACTAAATACTGAGCAAAGGGTCTGAATACTTATGACCATGTGATATTTCAGTTTTTCTTTTTTAATAAATCTGCAAAAATGTCAAAAATTCTGTGTTTTTCTGTCAATATGGGGTGCTGTGTGTACATTAATGAGGAAAAAAATGAACTTAAATGATTTTAGCATATGGCTGCAATATAACAAAGAGTGAAAAATTTAAGGGGGTCTGAATACTTTCTGTACCCACTGTATATGAAAGTTAACAGAAACGGATTCAAAGTGGTTGTATTGTGCTAAAGTGTGCAACTAAGATTTCATTGTTGATTTAACTGCCAGTTATTTTCTACATTCATAATTTAACCATATGAACAGTAGAAAATGGAGCAAAAAAGTGATGGTGTTAAATGACTTGTTTTGTCCGACTAACAGTCTAAAACCTATAGATGTTCAGTTAACTGTCGTACTGTACTAAATACAGAAAAGCAGCGTTACAGTAGTTTTGTTCTTAAATGTAGTGGAGTAGACATATGAGGTGGCATGAAGATAAAATTCTTAAGTAAAGTATAAGTACCTCAATTGTTTATCAAATGCAGTACATCAGTCAACGTCCACCACAGGTAATAAGTTGGCTAAGCTTACAGTTAGCATACGTTAGTTGGTTACCGTTAGCTAACATTAGCCGAGCTGCTAACATACGTGTGGACGAATAACACTACTGATGACAAATATAGCATTGTCAGACTACTGTGGGAGAATGAAGGTATTACTAATACATCCCTGTACCACCAATACCCGTTTCTCTGAACAGACACTAGCTTCATATCATTATTTACCTTGACACTTGTTCAACTCATAGCACTCCAGGAAGCATTAACTTGAGGCAGTGCTGCGTTTCTGGAACACATCAGTATCGGAAGACGCTCATGCATGGAGGAAATGTGCAACACAGACCCGACAGATTGAAGAGCCGTGAGTCGTGTCAGTAAATTAATATAAAGTCAAATCATACAGATATAATTAAGGTGAAAACAATACATGATTGATGTGCCGTTTCTCTTCTCAATTCCATCATGTGCCGTAAAGAACAAAACTGTCATTTTTACGAGGACATATGAAGGCAGCACTCTTCACACTGTGTGTAAGGTAGACTACTGGTGTCCTGAGAGGTAACTGCAGTTTAGACCTATATTCAGCAGCAAAAACAGACATTTTACAGCCCATAAAATCGATTAATACAAAGCTTACATTGACAGTGACTCCTACTTAAGTTTTTTTTTACAGAAACACATGTATTTCTTCTTATTCTTATTCATTCCCTTTACATATAAAATGCATTGTAAAGCGTACCTTGCCTTAAATTTGTTATTTGGTCAGAAGCGTCTGAAAAAGTAGACCCATTAAATATGCAGGGTATCTGCAGGTCTTGGAAAGTGGTTAAAGTTATTTTAAAAAAGGTCGTGTCTAATGATTAATTATATAACAATGAATTACATCAGCTCACCTGGGAAGTACTTAAAATGTGATATAGGGCTAAAGCTTAAAGATCAATAAAATCACGCACTTGCTAAATAATTTTAACCCTAACCCATAGGCTACATCTTTTTGTATTATTATTATTTTGTTGTTGCTGTTGTTTTATTTGTATTATTACAGTAGTATAACAGGCAACCAATCAGATCACACTGTGTAACGCATCCCCCTATTTTCACCCCTGTGGAAAATATCGCGGAGGGGCGGTTCCTGATAAAACACTTCTGCTTTTTAATTGGTCGGTTCAGGGTCGCGACAGATCTGTTTTCTCGGAGTCCGGCTCCTACCCGGGCGGGTACACCCAGCTCAGCGGTATGTGCGTAACAAAAAACCTTGCGTCACGTGACCACCTCTCACTCCCAAACCCATCATCTGGGGAATAACGATACATATTAACCTTACCGGGCTCTGTTTCCACCAATGTGTTTCAATGCAGATTAATCCATAGGATGCTATTTAAATGAACGGAGGGATTCTAGCGACATTCTCGGGAAATTCGCGGGAGGTAAGGCGTTTTAATCACTGCATTTTCATTCATTACACTCCACCTAGGGCAAGGAGGGAATTAAATTAATAAAGTGTAGGTTATTATCTGGCTTCTGCAAAACCTCGAACTCTGTAGCAGGATGGTTTATTGCGAGCATCTTAGGTTCGACCCGCTCGGCGTCTGGATGAAGCAAAAGCACTGATGCACCGCGTCGCACAGGGTGAAGGACGCTTCTCCATCGCCTATGATCACGATGTGCTGTGTCCTACTGCAGCATCAGTGCCATCCGCCGAGAGAAACATACATTTAGGACAGTTGTAGGATCACCGAGACCGGTCTTCTTTCTGTGGGAGACATTGTTCTATTTTGCAGCCGAAAGATGCCCTTCAGGGCTATAGCCTAGGCTTCTCAACATCTAACATCATATGCACTGAAATGTGGTTTGCAGACACAGTCAGATAAGGTGGAAGGTGGTTGATAATCGCCTACAAGGAGCTAAATAAACATATATAGTCAAATCCGTAAAATCTGTAGTAGTTTAACGTGCACATTTACGCCCATAGGTGATCAATACATTTTACAAATCACGACAAGGCCACAGAGCCTGGCATTGCACAGCTGTAATATGTGGCCAAGAAAACATGTTTATCTCTGTCGACAGAAACAACGATGCTTCATGATGGGTGGATGCACTGAAAAGGCTGCACCACCTCTAGTCAAGTCTTATGGCGATTCAGTCTTTTATTGCAATGAAGGCACACTTTATTGCAATAAAAGACCCACAGCAAGGCCTGTGGAGGAGTGTGGCCTGTTGCCTACAAGTGTGTGAGAGTGAGTTTACACTTAATAAAAGAGCTCTGTTCTTTGCAGCTTGGTTTTCAAGGCAGCTAAGATTAAAGTCTGTGCGCCTGTTTGCAAGTGGAGGAAAACACTGAAGGGTCATCATGGCAGGTAAGCTTTTCTTTGCACATGAATAAAGAGGCTATGGACAAAGGTGGACATAAATGCAAAATAAACCCATTTATCAATGGTAAATTCTAATTCTGCGAGAAGCTGTCTTTACTTGGTTTCTTTGTGAATTTGGTGTTTGGGCAAATGTGTTGAACTGTGTCTTTATATGCTAGAAAACAACTTCCCCCCCCTGCCTCGATTCATCCCGTTGAAGCCATGTTTCTACCAAGACTTTAATGAGATCCCAGACCAATGTCGCACCATGTGCAAAAGACTCTACTACCTATGGATCTGTGAGTGTACCAGCAGTAAAAGGTTGACTGTTGACTAGCTGTTCAGGACATGCTATATGTACAACATCTTTTACTACAACTCAGATTTCAGCACAGATGTTGCTTGCATCCTGGTATAAACTGCTGCATTTGCCTACTGTGCCACTTTGTTTTACTCAAAATATGATGAGAGGCAAGCATCAGACACTCCAGCAATTCGCCAAGACCAGACTGAGCAGTCTCACAGCATTGCACAAAGTCAGATGATTTTTTTTTTATTTTCTTGTGCATTCATGTGTAGAGTTTGTGTCTAAATTTATGTGATATAGCTTCTATTTGCTCTCTGAATCTTACATAGTGCAATTAACTGATTAATTGATCAAGAAAATAATCTTCAGATTAATCAGCCATGGGAATAATCATTAGTTGCAGCCCTAGTGATAACAGCAGACACCAACAGTAATATTTTGGATTGTAATATTTACATGGTATCATTGTGAAACCATCATCCTGAAACCAAGAATGGAAGTCTGGTGAAAAAGTAAATCAATCAAAACAGTAGATTGGTTTTTACAAAATGTCTGGAATCTGTAGAATAGAAACAGTGTGCTTTGTGCTAAATAAGATGTATCTCCACACTTACTGTATTGTAGCTTGACATAAAATGGAATATTTTGCTGTTAAGTAGTTGCC